CGTCGGCGTCACGGGGGCGATGATGTGAAAACGTATTCCTAAAATATAGTATTTTGAATGAAAAATGAAAAGAATTTTATTTTAATCTAAAACTTATAGTACGTTTGTCGAGCATTAATCTTGCTAGAAAAGAGGAAATATTAAAGAAGCCAGGTCTTGTATTCACCGTGCGTGAGATAGATATTATGCCTGCCTCATCATTAAAACAGCATAATTGCATATTAGGATTTTTGTTTGTTTCTTCCGTATATTTTTCTTCATACTGTCGGATCTATATCCATATATTTGCTTATATATATATATATATATATATATATATATATATATATATATATATATATATATATATATATATAAGTGAACATATATGTCAATATGCAAGTGGCCGACGATTGTTTCATGCTATATGAAACAGTGGCCTGACGATTGCATCTGTTGAAAACTATATTCACTTTTATATTTACACACGCTCTATCTCTGATATCGAGAACTTTATCCCATAAATATAGCAGATCTTAAGACTATATTTCTTCATATATATATATATATATATATATATATATTACACACACACACACACACACACACACACATACATATATTTATATATATATATATATATATATATATATATATATATAGTAAAGGTAATAAATCCATTGGTATATAATCCAAGTGGATACTAGCAATATATTAAAACTGATACACAAAAAGAGCACAATGTTTTTATTATTACAGACCAAATTATTAGTACACAATAAAATCTAAAATACCTCATATATATATATATATATATATGTGTGTGTGTGCGTGTATGTGTGTGTGTTTCTGAACATATAAACCATGTGGACATAGAAATCGTATAGGAGATAAGGAAATAGAATTAATTTGGACAGCTACGTGCTTGGGCCGGAAAATATTCATCAATTCGTTGATAGTCTTTCGAAGTGTATATGAATTAAGCATTGTTTTCAAGGTCTGTAGAATACGAAAATAGTTTTGAAACTACTAAAGAAACACTTACTTGTCGGTTGGAATTTTCGCTCTGCTGTTTCTTGGAAATTTTTTGGTGCCATTATCTCAGTTGGATGAATCGGTAATTGATGACGGGAATGATTACCAACTTTCATTGACATCTCTAGTTAAACTGATTAATATCATGTGACGCGGTAAAGAAACCAATTCCCTGATAAGCGGAAAATATTTCTATGAAACGCTAAGCAAAAATCTTAGATTTCTCTAAGAGAGGAAAACAAAACGGTTATTTGTCTATAGATCATGCTGAAATAAATTAGTTATTTTTGGTTTTGCATTCAGACTAATATCCGCACCTTTATTGTTTATACAGGATGGGGAAGAGCAACTTGCTTATTTAAATTTGGCGCCCTAAAGCGATGGTTGCTCCAAGGATGGTAGGGATGGACTTATTTGAGAGGGTGAGGCTTAAAGTTTGGTTCTTAACGTGCGTTATTTATTTTTTGTTTATTTTTCAGAAACCCCAGTGAGCATCATGGAGTGGGCGAAGTTGGAACGCGCCTTCGCTGTTGAGGCATTTTTTTTTCAAGCGGTCGCTCAATTGTCGCATCGCAACGTGCATTCCGCAGACATTTCAATATTGCCCCCCCCCCCCGTGGTCGGGTTCCTGGACGGCAGTCGATTGTTTCATAGGTAAACGGGTGATGTAAAGAAAAAGAAACCTGGCCTCCAACGAACAGCAAGGTCACCCCAAAACATTGACTCAGTGTATAGAGAAGAATGGACGCCATCTTACTGGTATCATCTTTAAAACTGGTAAAAAATAAAATATAAATGTTGAACTAGTTGCAGTTCAAATAATTACATGTATACCTACATTACTTGTGTTTTAATTGATATTCCAAATAAGCAAGTTGCTCTGCCCCACCCTGTATCACGTTTCGGTCGTTGTACCGTCTGTCCTTCTTCAGAAATAAACTCTTTATCTAATCTACAGAGATAATTTTTTCTACTTCATGTCTAGAGATATATAGTTCTTTTTTTTTAGTAATGTTCAGTTATTACTCGTTTCCAGTGAGTACAAATCTGTACAACCAGGTCCCCGAGGGTCGGCTGAAAAATTCATAAGCTGACTAAGATTCTCTCATAGAATTTGACCAAATGAAGTGTATTTGTAGGCATAGTCTTCCTTTTTTTCTATAGGTGTTACAGTGCTTTGTTCCCATTGGTGAAGAAACTTTTATCCTGTTGGTCAAAAAGACAACAGTAGATATGATGTCACCATCAGTTCGATACCAGTTACCAGCCAAGTGTTTTGTTATGTTGGGGAACAGATGATAGTCAGATGGGAATAAATTAGTAGAATAGTGAAGGTGGACAACAAGTTCAAAGTCACCGTCACGTACAGCAATCACCGAAACCATGGAATTGTGTGCTGGATCAATGTCCCGATGAAGCAAGAACACTTCTGTCAGTTTTCCTGGACGTTTGTTCTTGTTGTGGTAGGATCCACCTAATTTGCATAGTGGAGTACCGACCATATAAATATGGTTGGTACCGGGAAGAGAGGGAGGAATCAAGAGATTCAACCAGAGACTCTGCCTGACTGCGACTCAGTCAACCCATTCTCCAGGAACGGTCTTACCAGGAATATACAAAAGACTATATGTAAATATTGTGTACACTTACATGTTTCAATACATTTTGTTCTAAGTACATTTTGTGTTGGATTATTATTCCATGCATTAGTCAAGTTTCAACAGCTCTTGATAGCCTTTTTAGCTGCTTCAGCAAGTTGGCATCGTACTCTCCATTGATACTGTGGACCTTTTCAAAACCATGCCATTTACACCCCAAAAAGCTGAAGCTATCACCTTCGCTACAAATCAAACGACCTTGGCCTTCTTGGGAGCAGATGAGGAGGGGGTTTTGGGGGAGGGGGGATTATCTCTTTTTCTGTGATAAACCCAAACCCTCATCCCGTGTTAGGAAACGTTCAAGAAAACTAGCAGGTTCCCTCTCGAAGAATGTCATATTTTCCCATGATTTTCTCAGTCAGGTGCACTTTTGATCACCCACTGTTAGAAACCATCGTCATACCAAGTTCATTGTGCAGAATATTTTCACCTCTCTCACGGGATATGCTAACAGCATTGGGTATTTAATTTATAGTCCATCGCCTGTGATCCATGACCATGTGGTGGACCCGATCAATGTTTTTTGGCGGTGGTCGCAACTGCAAGGTGTCCAGATGTCGGGTCATCGTTAAGACTCCTCCGTCTCCTGTTAAATTCAGCTTCCCATTGATAAAACTGAAGCGTTACCCCACCCTCAATATAGCGACCATGTCAGTATTAATATCCTTAGTGGCTAAACTCTTTTTCTGCAGGCACATCATCACAGGACGTTGCCAAATGTTGCCCATTTTCAAGAGAAGTCGCTACATCACTTTGAAGTCGACTTTAATTTGTCAGATGTTAGTTTACCTGGAGGGAATAATGCACTTATTAGTAAGATAGGGTTGAAATTAAAGCGTACAAGTTTTCACAGTTCTGGCATCACTCCTTCATAGTCAGCCTACGAACTTTTGTACGTATTTTCCCGTAGAACAATCGTGAACTTGGATTGACTGAAACCTGACGAAGGACGGATCGTTCATCTACTGAAACGCTGTGATAATAACAACTAAAAAATAAGGACGTTAATCCGGATGTAAGTAATGTCAATAAGGTTAACTGACCATCGCTGAAAGTTGTAGCGCAATGGATATCAGCCCGGAATTTGAACTCGGAAAGTCGAGTTCGAATTCCAGTTACTTGCAAATACTCCTGACAAACGTAAGAATCTCTCCTGCCTCTAGTTATGGGTTAAATAGCAGGACAGACTTTGTTCTATTGCCTTGGTTGGCAACCTGTCTATCACAAAAAGACATGGCCACCTACTGTGGGGGGACCCAAACTTTGGCTTTGTCAGTCATGAAGAGAAAGAGACATGATTACTCAAGTCTGAATCACGTATGGCACGTAACTGAATTTCAAACAGAAATTTAAGTTAGATTTGTAACTTAACGCGTCGGTGCAATTTGAATATATATGTTTCTTCCAAGAGTGTATAGCTCTCTTGTAAAAGAAACTTGTGCTCCAAGTAAATATTTTCTCAATCGTCTGTTCTCAAAATATCAGCGTTTTGTTTTCTTAAGCGTAATATACTGGATACAATATCAAGCAAATGCTTCTCGTTTGTTATCTATTTTATGCCATCCATACATTTTTAAAATCATCTTCTCAATGGGAGCGCCAACATAGTCGGGCAGTACGAAAGAGTACGAGGAAGGAAAATGTTTGAAAACCCATTACTTAGGTCTTTTTTTTTCCGTTTTCCCCTGTCTTTTATAGTTCTTAGAGAATTAGTCTGCAGTTTCTTTGTTTTTTTTTTAGTAGTTGGATCTTTTTTTAGGACTGGCTATAATATTGCTTCTGTCAGTTGGGGACGTTGTATTAGAAATATATATATATATATATATATATATATATATATATATATATATATATATATATATATAATACATACTGTAAGAAGTTTGAGTAACTTATTGGCAAAACAAATGATAAAAACAAAAATAATGAAGATAATGTCTGTAGAAAAGAGGATAAAATATATCGTCTTGAGAAAAAAGAAAAAAAAAACTCCTGACGAAGATGAATAACGGTTTCCTTACCCTCGCTCTGTGTTCCTCAATATTATCGTCTGTTTCTTTCATTTTTTTATTGGTATCTTTTGCTCATTTTTCATTCTCTCTCGCTTGCGTATCTGTCGCTTTTTTACCGCTCTCTATCAAGTTTGTCTTCTTCTGTCTCCACTCGTAATTTGTTTCTGTTTCTCTCTCTCTTTTTATTTCTCTCTCTCTCTCTCTAACCCTCTCTCTTTCTCTTCTATTTGTTTCTCTCCTTCTCTCCTGTGAACCTGCTGTTTTTCTTGTGTTACCTTCTAGTCTCTTTTTTTTTGTACGTTCTTTTCCTCTCTCTTTAAACACCGGTTCCCGTACGATCAACGAAGTTAAGGAACATCGTCTTTGGTCAGTACCTTGATGGGTGATCGTGTCGGAATACCAGCCGCTGTAAGCTTTGATGTACGTGTGGTGTAATGATCAACGGCTCGGAAATGAAAATCAGAGAACTGAGTTCTAATTCCAGTCGGGTTCGTTATAGTCATTTACACGAAAAAATACTCCTGGCAGGAGTATGAATTTTACATCTTATTTCCCAAGCTATGGGTTAATTATTATGACATGTACGAGTAAATCCTTAATATCTCTCACAAACTCTTACAATCTAAAAATATTTTCTAGATTTAAATAACCTGAATGGTTTGATAAGCCGTAAAAAATCAAATCAATCAATCAACTGTATTTCTCTGTCTTTCTATCTATATCTCTCTAATGCACGTCTCTCTATTTCAGGTTAGTTTAATTTCCATCCCTGACTTTTGCTTCAGCCTCCATATCTAATGTCCGTCCATCTCCTTTCATTTTTTCTCTCTTTTTTGTATTTCTCTCTGTCTCCTCTCTGCCTGTTCTGTCTCTTTATGTCACCGTGCTTTTCTTTCACTTCTCTCTTGTATGTATCTACCTGTCTGCTATTCTATCGTATTGTTCTGTTGGCTTTTTTCCCTCTCTTTTTTGTCTATTTCTCTCTCTGTCTTTCTTTGATTATTTCCTTTACTCTCTCATGTTTGTACATTTCTCTCTTAGTTTCTCTCTGTGTTTTTTTCTCCCTGTGTCCTGTCCGTCTGTCTGTCTGTCTTAATCCCCCGGATATTTATTACTTTTATCTCCCGCTTCAATATATCTCCCCTCCCTTTCTTCCTTTCCTTCGGATAAAAGGATACAGCTAAACCCAAGAAAGATGGTGTCTTGATAGTTTCCCTATATTGGCCAATGTCGTTATCCTGCACAGAGTTATACCTAATTGCCTCGTTTTCCTTCAATGGCGTGATTGCCATCAACATGGCACATTGTTTGGCTCAAGAGCCACTTCGCAGTGCAGGCTGAACACCCAGCAGAGACAAACGGACAATGGATAAACTCGCAACACTGAACGCAGTATGGCGTTGCATTAATAGTGGACAAAAGGGTAAGTCATTATTGTTGGCCTGTCCATTTAGTGGCGTGGATGGCCAGCCAAATTGAATGCCAGCAGACGACACTATCGCTTCGTATTTGGAAAGACATAACAGTAAACACGTGACGGGAGTTCCATACAAATAGCAGGACTAGTCGTTTCTTTCTGTTTTTTTCTTCTTCTTCACTATTACTAGAATATATAGTCTACGTACTCGATCGTGTACGACTTGAGGTTTGCAAATTGAAATAAATTTGCAGATGAATGAACGCACAGAAACACCAAGACAAAAATGAAAGAAAAGACGTGGAGAAAATATAAGATAGATAGATAGATAGATAGATAGATAGAGAGATAGAGAGCGGTTGATGGAATGAGATAGAATTAAATTGACGAAGAGAAGGAGGTGCAAACAAAGAGGCAGACAATGACAGACAAATGAAATAGAAAATGAACAGAATATGATGGATATATTTTTAAATATTACAAGAGAGAGATGAGACGGAATCGGGAGTAAAATCTGAGAGACAAAGGGCACTGAAATAGTCTTGGACTAACACACTTCGCCAAAATAGTATTTCAATTAACATTAACATTAGAATACAGAAATTGATAACATGCTCAGACCCAAACATTACCCAGTTCACTATCGAAGATATACAGTGATATAGCGAGATTGATTGGTTTATTTTTTATTTTGTTTTAAGTCTTCTCAACTGTTTGTGGGTAATTTAAAACCGGAATACAGTTTGGATTGTGATATAATGGAATATGCATACACCTAAGTTCCTCCTCACTGGAATATGATTGGCTGGTGTCCGTCATAAATACAGACGGACGTGTAGGTACGACAGAGTTAAGTCTATGACGACGCCCACTGGACTACGCCATTGGTTATCCTACTGGTCTACACCCATTACCTGCGTCTACGACGAGTACCAGTCGATTACTGCTACCGTGTACTACTTGGTTACATAAGCCAAATCCACTTAGCTACTTTGATCAAATATATCCCTTTCCAGGACATATATAATTCTTTTTTTCTACCAGTCGGGTGGGGCTTCAGAATAGGCCGACTGCACTTCTGCTGAGGGGTAATAACCCATATCTCCAAATGAAGCGGCTTGGATATGACGATAAACAACATCCGGCAGCAAGGCTCCTGATCAGGTGGTTTTGAGGAGCATGAAACCTCGTCTTAATTGTGGGGGTTCCCAGATACATCTTGAGCCGAGGTGGAAGCAGCTGTTAGAGCTCCAGGTATGAGAAAATAGTTAACCCCCAAACTGGGGTCAAAATACTAGGAAAGTGTAAAAATAAGTTTTAATACTAGTAATACATTTTTAAAAAAAAATTACCAGTAATAAAATCTTGTTGGTATTTGTTATGGGGTCCTCCCCTTTTTCATATAAGTGGACTCGACCAGTGTTACTTGGACTGCTGCCGTTAAATACCCAGAGTCAGTCAGAGAGTGAGTAGAGATAGTAAGAAGACTGAGATTGTGATTGAGTTGGAGGTAGAGTAATAGTGTGAGGTAACCGCTTGTAGAAGTCACAGTTACAAGCACGTAGACTCTAAGGAAGTCCTATTTCGAGACTGTATATATCTATATGTTATTGCTACTAACCGCGTTCCTGGACTTACTAACAGTATTACTCTTTGTATTATTGTGTAAATACATTTAATTTCTTATCATTATTTCTTGCGTTTGTCATTCATTGGAAACCAAAGTTCATCTCGGAATCCACAACAGTATTAAATAACCAAATGAGATTGATATGCAGTAAAACAAACAGATAAACAAAATCCTGCCAGTGAATATTTACATTTTTTCCCATAGTATCAAGTAGAATACATATGTGGTTTGAGAGTATTTTTCTTTAATTATTGCCGCATGAAGTTTGTTGCTATATTTTTTTCAGGCAGATGTGCCAGTTTTTTTTGCAATTCGGTTGATGTACACCATATTCGTAATTAAAAAGAAATATTTTAGAAGTGCAAAAATAATTCTGTGTTTTTACCTTAGTTTTTAAGCAAAAAAACGTATATATTTGTCTACAGCGAGCACATTCATTTCTACGGCAAAAATGGCTTGTTAATCTTAATACCACCAAAACGAAAGTACTCGTTTAAAAAAAAAAAAAAAAAAATTAAAAAATATTTCTTGCCTTCCGTCAGCATAGCTCATTTCGCCTGTTTTGGTGAGCTTTCCTCTTTGGCACCTCGATTTTACGAATTCAAGAGCAGTATCGATTGACAGTTAGGGGTCATCATTTTACGTTTGAAATGGCTAGCTGTAACCTTAGGTTCTACGGTAATAGTTTCTTCTCTCGCACTCTTCCGGCCTCTTTGTTAAATAATAGTTTAGCGGACTTTTATTTTTAGGGGGAATGGTATCTCTGCACGGAATTTCTGAAGTTGACCTTTGGGGTCAGATAGAAAACAAAACAAGGAAGTCGATTTTGATTGGCTGAACGAGCGTGAGAACGATAGAGGTTTCCAGTGAGTTGTTTCTGAACTGTCAAGCAATATAGACGTGTTCTATTTGGTGCCTGAAACGTCTCCACAGTTAGGGAGAGTGACCCCACTGGGTAGAAAATGTAAACGTCGATGACATTAATAAAATACCTAAGTTAAAATTATCTTTGTTGATGTCTTTTATCTCTAGACCCAAAAACATTTTGTCATCCGGTCGGGAGAAAACGAGAGAAGAGATAAAACATTGTATCAGTTTGGCTCCGTTGACTTCCTAGCACGAGGTGGGGGTATTCAACATTTGATTAATTTGGCGCAGTGACCAAGTCCCCGCCAGAGAGCATACAGCATCTTATTTCCAGTCAACTTTAATTCTTAACAATTTAAATGCAATGTCGATCTTTATATTCTGTCTCCTTAATCCCTGTTATTTTATTTTTCTCTCTCCTTAATACATTTTTTCTCTTATTCTTTCACTCAGTAACACCTTAATGGCGTCAAAGTCTGGTGTCTAGGACGCAAAGAAGTCTGTAAGTGCCTGTCGCAAGTCTGCCTCATCTGCAAAGAAATCCCGACGAAGGCGGTTGTCTAAGATATGGAAGACGTTATAATCTGTAGGCGGAAGTTCCGTAGTGTAAGGTAGATGATACAGTGTCGACCGGACAAGTCATTGTATGTTATTGGCCACCCGCATCACATGAGGCCTAACATTGTCATGCCGGAACGATATACCCTTACGATTAAACAATGCTGGCTGATTCTTCTTCAGTGCCTGTTGCAAAAATTTCTAACTATTGTGAGTACAAATCCGCAGTGATGGTTTAGCACGTTAGTAACAGTTCATAGTGAACCAATTGTCGAATCGTGCACTAGATATAGTGTATAATCTTGCGTGGTTTTGTGGTATGACGCTCAGTGTCCCCTGGTGACAACCAATGTCTAGTATACTTGGGAGTGTCATATAGAACCTACTTTTCGTTACTGGTGAGCAATCAATCTAATATCTCTACGTTGCGCTGCCGAGAGATGAACGCGAAACAGGATGTCACTCGTTTGCCTTCGACAGCGTGCGAGGTGCCCACTAGCTCTACTTATACGCCGTCCCTATGTAGTGCTGGCGAAGTCGGACTGTTTCATCAGAAAAATGGAAGTGACTGGCAAGCTCAACACAGGTTTAGCGGTTGTCCTCCTCTATGACCGCCTTCAGGGCCTCGTTATTCAGGGCTTATGGCGGACCCTTGCGGGGTTCATCACAAAGAGACAGACCTCCGGACCTGAACCTCTGGAACTAATGCCTGGCGACGCGTTCACTCACAACATTATCCTCAAAGACTTGACGTATTCGTCGACATGATGTGGTTGCGGATAAGCTCACCTTGAAGTCACAGACAACCCCGAGCAAGCTGGTTCTACACCGCCATGTTTCCTGCTTAAGCTATATTTTTCTTAATTAATGATTGTGTGCGTCGGCAACATACCTGAATTTGTTTAGGTCAATGACCACATCTCCCACTTCTTTCCAGGCAC